CCGCACATCTGCTAGTAAAATCAAGTTCAATACATACTTACTAAACATCTATTATGCCCATTTTTAGTGAGAGATTCTGTTATTGCTGTGGGCAGTAAATAAAGCTGCAAAGAACATGATCTGGTTTTCCAACAGGGCATTCATCACCATTGTAACTGTATCCACCCATCTTGCTGTTGATCATCTTCTCTCTCACATTTCTCTGCATTATAGTCTTCTCCAAAGAATTATGTCCAAAGTACAATAATTTGAATTTGGTCACCAATGCCAACATACAATACCCTTCCTATCCTGCTTCTTCAAGTCCAACTTTCGCTCCCGTACAGCTTTACAGGGAAGACCATTGCTTGCACTATTCACTTCTTTGTAGGTATAGGCACATCATAGCATTTGAATATCTTATTCATGGCCTTCATAGCTGCTCGACCAAGTGCTAGTATGAAGCAAATTTCTTTACTACTTGCTCCTTTACTGTTGATAGTTGATCTGAAAAGGCATGAACTATTCATCACTTGGGTATCTTGCCATTTCTAAGGTTGGTCATTCTACCTGTGGTCATTAGTGTCATCTTCTTTACATTTAATCTTAGTCCCTTTTCTTCACAAGGCTCCTTCACTTTTATTACTAGAACTTGTAGATAACTTTGCATTTTCAGCTATGAGAATAGTTATCATCAGCAAAGCAGATGTTACTGATGCTTCCATTTTAAAACAAAGCTCATCTTATTCCAGATTCAATAAAATCTTGCCATCTTAAATTTATAGTATAATTAGTGATAAGCTTACCTCATAAAATCAGATTAACTTTCATTCTCTTATCCTTCAGTAAATTGATAGTTATTTTCCACTAAGCTAAAAAAATATTTTAATTGGAGAACAGCAATTGAGACAACTTTATGTCATATACTTTTAATGCTTTACTATTGTAAGCCACTGAGAATTTAAAAGTATATAAATTACTGTAATATCACTCCAGCTATAATCAATCCTATTTTCAACATCATCCATGTCAATCCATGACTATTATTTATATCATTTTTACATTTTCCATGTAGATGTTTCTGAATATGTTGCAGCAACACAACCACAAATGCAATGGGATGCCATGGTCTGCCAAATCAAAGAGGGATCATGTTGCAAAGGTTCAGTATAAATAACAGGAAGTGTTTCCATTTACCTTGAGTTTTTTGTTCAAGCAGCCTTCTCCTTTCATCCATGTCTTTTTCAGGAATGCCCTCCATACCATATATTTCCAGTTCAATATCAGTTCTTCCTGGTATTGCATTTGGAACAGCATCAATTGTTTCCTTATGTACCTTAAGAAAGAGAAATCCAAGCTAACGTAAACAGGATGTATATTAAAGACTACAGCTATAGAACTTCAAGATTAGATCTCCATTTAGCTATGACGTTTACCAGAATTTTTTTGGAAGGGGGTTCAATCACAGTATCTTAATTTAACGTTAACCTTAAAGACACACCTTTTCTTGGTTTAGCTACAACATAACACCAGGAAACGCCATAGCTTTTTAAGTTGCTATCAACAGTTAGAACAAAGTTATACTGGTTCTCAAATATCTTTCTCAACTGGGATTTGAATACTCATTTAACATTTATTTTCCTGAACAATTCTGGAAATCTATTCAAAAATGCTCAGACCAACACATTCAAAAAGAAAAACAGAGCCTACAGATACCAAAACACACCAGTATGGAACTTTCTACATAACTTGTTTTTTACTCTTATTAATGGACACTTCCAAAACTTTAGATGCCACCTCTCCATGTATAGCTATTATCAATTCTGCTTATTTTCTGGTCAAATAACTCTTCTAATCTTCTACTGATGCAGCTATTATTGCTATGTGGGTAATCTGTTATGCTGGAAACCCCCCCCCCCAGATACTTGATTTGAAGTGCTGTTGTCGTCGTCCCTGTCATGTGATTACATTTTGAATGCTTGGCATTTACTTCCAACTTTTGACAAAAAATGCACATTGAGGATCATAGTTTTGGTTAACACCATGGTGAGTTACTTAACAACCACTGCAAAAATTGTTGTAGAATCAAGATGCGTGACGCAACCAACATGACGTAGGACCATAACTCTGGATAACCAGGTTCTATTACAGTAGTAAATCAAGGACTACTTGTGCATCAATAGCATTTGTGAATAACAAATTAACTTTCTTTTTTTTACTTTAAAATGCAAAGATTTCTGAAACAAAAGCATATATAAATAACACCACAAACAATCCTATTTATATGGGTATATTATAGTACTTACCTGCATACAGTGTATAGCTAAACCAGGCCCAGTATACAGTTTCTTATGACATATATGGCATTTAAAGTGCTTTGCTTTTTGGTGTTGAATAAGAATTTTCTCGTCATCAAAATCCCTGTTACAATACCTATTCACATTGTTAAAGAAGTCAAGCACATAATCTGAAATATGCTAAAAAAGATACATTACTATAATCAGTTTTAAAGAAAGCTGTAACCCATTTCCAATTACATTTCAATTACTGTTATAAATCAAGATTTCATAAACCTTACATTTTGTCACGAGGAAAGACAACTTACAAGGCATCCAGCAGTTATTCACTCATAAAGTGACTATAACTCCAATATTAAGTAGCAGGATAAGGAATTTTCAAGGTTAAAATCCCACAAATTTTGATGTGCTGAGTAGCCAACCATTGTTTACCAACTAACCCATATGATCTTTGCCCATACTAGAAGGTTTGGGACAAGGGAAAGCCATGCAGACTCTCCAAACATACAGAAGTCGTTTCTCAGATTAAGATTGCTTCCAACTTCTTCAACAGTACTATTGATTTTGCTTTTCTGAAAACATGTGGCCAATCACAACTTTCATAGTTAGCTAGTTATACAGTTAGAGTCACCTTAATGGGAAGTAGGCAGCATATAAAGAGTGTGTGTGTGTGTGTGTGTGTAAAGCTAACACAAAACAATGGAAGAAAAAGTTATCTAACCCTTAAGAAGTCCTTATACTTAAACCTTCTCAATTTAAGCTAGTGAGAGATCAAGAGAAATAAATCTATAGATATCTGGCAAACATCTAGCAAAAGAAAGGGTACAGTTTCGGCCTACTACCAGTACGATACCCATCAAAACTAACAAAATATGCTTTTTGTCTCCATAAACGTCAGGGCACAAGGTTAACGGCAACAGCCCTTTTTTTAAAGAACGAGATACGCTGATGGATAAAAAAAGATCCCAAGAAAAATCTAATATATTTTTGTTTCTCCTGGATAGAGAGATATACAATTTCTAATTTCCCAAGTGGTGCGGGGAACAAAGAGGGTGGGGCGTCAATCCCAAAAGGCGGCAGCTCCAAAACTCCTTTTTTAAAAAAGGCTCTGGAGTGAAGAAATCCGGACGACTTATTATACGGCAGTGGAAAGGGAGAACTTTTTGAACCTCTTTCCTACCGTCGCCCGGATTTTTTTTACGGCCCTGCCCTGCCTAATAAAACAGGCCGCTGAGGCCTTTCAATACCAGAGGAAGAAAAAAAGAGAGGCCGCTACTCGGGCCTCCTTCCCGATCGGAAACGAGAGGCGGCCCCGCGCCTAGAAAAGGATACCAGCACCAAGGCTTTAGCTGCTTCTTCTTCTTCCGACCCATGACGAGAAGGCAACGGCTCGGACGAGAAAACTCCCCAAAAAACGGCGAAGGTGACGGAACCCCAACGCCGACCGCGCGTTCTTTCTCTTTCTCTCTCTCTCCCCCGCTTCTCAGCCAGGCATAAAATGGCCGCTCTTCTCCGCCGAATCCCTCGCCTTCACGAAATGCAACGCGGCGAGGGGGGGCACGTGTTCCGTCTCCAGGCGACCTCACAATTGTGACGTCATCCGTTCCTTCCCGGCGTGCGGTGCAGCGGAAATTCTAGCCGACTCCGCGGTTCTTGCCTGCGTAGATTGGGGTTTTTTGGGGGGTGGGGGTGTGTTCTTTCCCACTGCGACTTAACGCCGAAGTTTGCTTTGGAAGAGAGATGCACAGGAGGCAGCCGAGCCCGATATCCTGGTCCTCAAATTGTTGCTTGGCCGTTCTCTAGTTTAGAAATAATGATGGTGTGATTTTCATGTGCCACCTGAATAAGATTTTTTCCTGCAAATGAATCAGATTCTCCCAACTCGTGAGATTTTTTTTTTAAAAGCAGCGAGGATAACGCTTCAACTTCGAAGGCTTATGTAGCTCAGTATTGTATATGTGGGCCGGGAAATAAATCCACTTAAGATTCAATGGGAAGCCAACGGTATTATAATTAAAAATCGCGAAAATCAGGGTTCTGAGAAAAGAGCATGCATTGTTAGATAAGCCTAATTAACAATTTGACCGTCCTACCGTATATATATATGCCTATTTTGAGTTCTGCTGAGATCAGCAATTCGTGTGTAAATCAAATTATTACAGGCCCAGCGGCTATTCGCTACATTTATTATAGCCCAAAGGCCAGAAGTAAATATAAAGTTTTTCAATTGGAATGACTTTTTATTCAGGCGATCCATGAATGTAATCCCACTTATTTCAGTGACAATCACACTTGGCCAATAAAGTATTCTGTTCTATTCTGTTCCATTCCACTTCCTCTTCTCTTCCTCATCCCTATTCTATTCATTCTATTCTCTTCCTCATTCCTACTCTATTCTGTTCATTAAGCTAATGCCGATCCAATGCAGCTTGCTGACCTGATTTTTTAAAAAAAAAATCATAAAATTGGGGAATAAATGTTAACTGAGCCAGTGTGAGTCTTGAAGAGAGATGCGTGTGCACGCGCGCGTGCGTGTGGATAGGGGGGTGCGCATGTGCCCGCAACATCCTTAACAATTTCAAGAGCCTATGGCTGGCTCTGTCTTCTCTCTCCCGTGGCAACATGTTTGTGACCGGAACCTTTGTGACGCGATATGGACAGACGTGCGGCGCCGAGGAGAATAGGTCGTTGCGCTGTACGGCAATAGGGGGAACGGATTCTCTTCGCTCCCGGTTCGCAATCAAAGATGTTGCCTTCCCTTCAGGAGTCCGTGGACGGCGATGAGAGAGAGCTGGAGAGCAGCGAGGAGGGAGGCGGTTTGCCCGAGGAACGAAAACCGGAGCGTAGCAGCAACAGTTACCACTGCTTGTACGGCTACCGAGGCTCCGGGTAAGAGAGCGAGGGCTGCTTCGCCGGGTCCTTGCAGGCTTTCTCCGCCCTCCGTGTCTCCAGCCTGAACCATAAAAAGGCTCTCTTACCAATCCTTCATAGTGTTTTATGACAATCCAGCCTTTCCGAATCTGGGAGGGTCTTGCATTGAATTCATTCCCGCCGTCCCACCCCGTTGGCTGAGAGCGTTGTTGTTCAATTCATCTGGGCTTCACCAAATTAAATGTTTGGTGACAAGTTAAACCTGGTTGATGGGATAAAACCAACAAATTATTTTAGTCCCGTTTCTAGTTTCCATCTGTGATCATGTAGATTGGTTACATCTGATCCTGAAGTCTAACCTCCGGTTTCCCCCCCCCCAGGGGCATTGATTTTCCTTGAAATGTGATTATTACACAGGTTTTCAACCAATACTGTCCCAATTGGGCCTGCAATACTTGCTGATGTCATTGATCCATCTTGTTTTAGGGCTCTTTTGTGGACGCTTTTTATCAAGTGGGATTCAATTTTTTTACTACCGGTTCTGTGGGTGTGGCTTGGTGGGTGTGGCAGGGGAAGGTTACTGCAAAATCCCCATTCCCTCCCAATCAGCTGGGACTCGGGAGGCAGAGAATAGATGGAGGCAGGGCCAGTCAGAGGTGGTATTTACTGGTTTTCTGAACTACTCAAAATTTCCGCTACCAGTTCGAGAGAACTGGTCAGAATCTGCTGAATCCCACCACTGTGTGAGATCCATTCTATGACTGCCTTAATCCACCTGCCATCAGCTCTTGTTCTTGCTATGTGACCAGCCCATTTCCATTTTTATTTTATTTTTTGCTCTCTTGATGATATTGTATATTTTCATTTGTTGCCTAATCCATGTGCTGGTCTTTCTATGTTGTCTTGTGATGTAATGTTGGAAACATGTGAAAGAGGCCTTCATCCTGCAAGTGGATTGACAATGGCTAAAATGATGGTGATGATGATGACTATTAGGTAAATGAGAGCCAGTTTGCTGTGGTATAGTAGTTAATGCTTCAGACTAGAAACCAGGAGATCATTAATTCTAATCCTGTCTTAGATACAAAGCCAGATGGGTGATCTTGGGCCAATCTCTGTTGCTAAGCCCTAGGAAGCAAGCAATGGCAAACCGCTTCTAAAAAACCTTGCCAACAAAACTGCAGGGACTTATCCAGACAGTCTCCAAAAATTGGACAAAATTAACAAGAAAAAAATGGGACTTCAGTAGGTCTGTCGACTGATGAATTT